GATGGATGGATGGATGGATGGATGGATGGATGGATGGATGGATGGATGGATGGATGGATGGATGGATGGATGGATGGATGGATGGATGGATGGATGGATGGATGGATGGATGGATGGATGGATGGATGGATGGATGGATGGATGGATGGATGGATGGATGGATGGATGGATGGATGGATGGATGGATGGATGGATGGATGGATGGATGGATGGATGGATGGATGGATGGATGGATGGATGGATGGATGGATGGATGGATGGATGGATGGATGGATGGATGGATGGATGGATGGATGGATGGATGGATGGATGGATGGATGGATGGATGGATGGATGGATGGATGGATGGATGGATGGATGGATGGATGGATGGATGGATGGATGGATGGATGGATGGATGGATGGATGGATGGATGGATGGATGGATGGATGGATGGATGGATGGATGGATGGATGGATGGATGGATGGATGGATGGATGGATGGATGGATGGATGGATGGATGGATGGATGGATGGATGGATGGATGGATGTGTAAATGTGTGTCCGCAGATTTAAGTCGTATCTCCTCCTCAACGAAGCAATATCGAGGACTAGTTCCAAAAGCAAATATGTTAAGCAAGTTCCAAGGATGATAGTGGGCCAAAAAAATTCTCGGAATTATTTCCTGGATTTTCCGGAAAAGCCAAAAAACATCAAGCAAATGCAGTTTTTGGTCCATATCTCGGCAACCGGACCACTTAGCGACTTGAAACATTTACCAATCGATTTCTGCTATAATTTAAAACAATATTGCTGAAGAAAGTTTTCAAAAATATCCTTTCCTTCGGTCACAAAAAATTAATTAAGAACATTTAAACTGAGCATCGTGTAGGCCTAGGATGATATTTACTACTTTTTTAAACTAAGCATCCTGTAGGCCTACTCGTTAAGATAAAACTATTTCCGTTGATATAGGTTAATATAGTTGTCTTTTTTTTTAGCGCAAAAAAAATATCCTTTCGTTCGGTCACATCCATCACAAAAAATTAAAAATGTTATGGATAACATAAGGATATTGCGCTTAAATTGTCACTAGACTTTTTATGAACTTGTTTTAAATTTTTGGTGCATGGCAAGCCCACGCCATAGATCGCGAGACTGTCGGTTCCCAATTCCCTTCCCGCACTAGATTCGCCCTTCCCGCACTAGATTCTCCCTTCTCGCCCTAAATTCTCCCTTCCCGCACTAGATTCAGTAGAGAGTGCCTTAACACTACCAGGGCAGTTATGTACCTTTATAGGTTATTTTAAAAGATCAGTCTAGCCGCTCCATCGCACTGGCAGTTTTCAAAAAAATGGCCGACAACGAGGTCGATGTGTGTGTGGGTGGGGGGGGGGGGGGTTGAGGGGGAGGGGTGAGAGGGGTGGGAGTCGCATTCGTGTAAAGCTTATAAATCAGTAAACGGAGATGGCGGGTATATTCTCAACACGGGAGAACTTTAATGCTACAATGTATGTTCGCAGATCATGCTGTTGGGACTGCAGATTTTGCTCTCTATTCTGCTGGCCAGTTGTTTGTTGGTAAAAGGTGAAAACTTCACCTACCATCACAACTACAAGCGCAGTTTTACAGCAGCTTCTACGGTAAGTCTTTCATGTTAATTTTGGAGAATCTTTCCAAAACTACATTATAAAGCAGGAATAGTCATACACACATTTATATAAATAAATAAATAAATAAATAAGTAAACAAAAAAAAATGTAAATAAGTAAATAAATAAAAAAATATATTTATATAAATAAAGTAAAAAATTAAAAAGTAAAAAAGTAAATAAATGACTAAGTAAGTAAGTAAGTAAGTAAGTAAGTAAGTAAGTAAGTTAGTTAGTTAGTTAGTTAGTTAGTTAGTTATTTAGTTAGTTAGTTAGTTAGTTAGTTAGTTAGTTAGTTAGTTAGTTAGTTAGTTAGTTAGTTAGTTAGTTAGTTAGTTAGTTAGTTAGTTAGTTAGTTAGTTAGTTAGTTAGTTAGGTAGTTAGTCAGTTAGTTAGTTAGTTAGTTAGTTAGTTAGTTAGTTAGTTAGTTAGTTAGTTAGTTAGTTAGTTAGTTAGTTAGTTAGTTAGTTAGTTAGTTAGTTAGTTAGTTAGTTAGTTAGTTAGTTAGTTAGTTAGGTAGTTAGTCAGTTAGCTAGTTAGTTAGTTAGTCAGTTAATAAGTTAGTTAGTTAATAAGTAAGTAAATAAGTAAGTAAAATAAACGGATGGATGGATGGATGGATGGATGGATGGATGGATGGATGGATGGATGGATGGATGGATGGATGGATGGATGGATGGATGGATGGATGGATGGATGGATGGATGGATGGATGGATGGATGGATGGATGGATGGATGGATGGATGGATGGATGGATGGATGGATGGATGGATGGATGGATGGATGGATGGATGGATGGATGGATGGATGGATGGATGGATGGATGGATGGATGGATGGATGGATGGATGGATGGATGGATGGATGGATGGATGGATGGATGGATGGATGGATGGATGGATGGATGGATGGATGGATGGATGGATGGATGGATGGACGGATGGACGGATGGACGGATGGACGGATGGACGGATGGACGGATGGACGGATGGACGGATGGACGGATGGACGGATGGACGGATGGACGGATGGACGGATGGACGGATGGACGGATGGACGGATGGACGGATGGACGGATGGACGGATGGACGGATGGACGGATGGACGGATGGACGGATGGACGGATGGACGGATGGACGGATGGACGGATGGACGGATGGACGGATGGACGGATGGACGGACGGATGGATGGATGGATGGATGGACGGATGGACGGATGGACGGATGGACGGACGGACGGACGGACGGACGAACGGACGGACGGACGGGCGGATGGATGGATGGATGAACGCATGCACATGCACATGATCATGCAAATGTAATTGCAATTGCAAATGCAAAATACAGATGCAATAAACAAGTGCAAAATGCAAATGGAAATGCAAAATGCATAACGCAAATGCATTTGAAAACCATAACAATTACGTTAAACGTAACCCTAAACTTAACAAACACATCAGCCTTAACATTAATCTTATTCTTAGCTTTAGCCTTAACCTAAACTCATTCCTCAACCACAACCTCAACCTCAACATTACATTTTCGACTACAAGCTGAAATGGTACTGAAGTTATAGTGATTACAGACACCCATATTGACAGATCTAGAAAACTAAGTTTTTCCTATTTTCGATTATTTGCTAGATTGCAATAATTCCTCTATACACTGTTACAATGTATTAAAAATATTATTCGCAAACGAAATTTAACAGCACCCTTTGTGTTTTTAATTATCTAAAAATAAAATGTTATATTTGTTAACATTCACAGTATCCCGTACCGTATTACGGCCAAGTTCTGTATCCGATTTACGATGGTAAGGAGATTATTATTGACGGAAGGATGACTTCCACGGGAACAAGGTAAAAGATATTTTTCACACAGATTTATGTTCTTGGTTTCTGTATATTAAAACTCGTTGCAAAGGTAGATGTTGTGTAGGCAGTGACAAATGGGATGGAGTAAAATAAATCAGTCATTATCTTGTCCTTGAAATTAGCCCCTCCCTGCTTCAGGGAAGAAATCGCCCCCAGACCAGGACATGCTAGAGAGGGAGAGAGGTGTTTATGGTCCTCAGAAATATGGATGTGAGGATACGCTCATTAAAAAAAATCACCAAATTCCTGTATTATCGTTATAATGGGTTTCCTGCACTTTTGAATTCAGAAAATAATAACTTAAATGATTATGCGTTTAAAATACTATTTTTATGACCATATTAATTAAAAAGTAATAATGTTTCCCCAATCTTACAAGCTCTCTACGACAAGATTTTTTATTCGTCATCATATTGTATTCGGCATAATTTGAAAGCTGGATTTCCAAAATAGTTTTTGAGTGCGACCTTGATAGCGGTTTTGTAAAAAAAAATCAAATAGCAACTACTGCACTGTATGCTGTACAGTAACTAACCTACGCTGTTGCGAACAATAATATTTAATGAAGTGTTGAAGATATGCACACGTTCAAACCAGTGTAAAGACTTATTGCTCTTCTTTTAGTCTAATAGAGGTGTCCATAAAGCAACTTTATACCTTTTGTGCTAAACAAAGTAGATAGCAATTGCTTTTATTTCTTCTTTAAATAAGACATAGGCAAGACATAGAATTTGGAAATACACTAATTCAAAATATTAACATGAATAAAAAAAACACATCAAAATAAAACGAACAAGGAAAATCATACCACATTACCCCCCCCCCTTCCTCCACATACACACATTTTTTGCACACAAATTAGGTTACCGTAACATTTTCAGCTGGTGTCTTCTGCCCCCGCCCCCTTCCACACGCTCAACTTTCTGCAGGATGACGTAAAATAAGCCGATTTTATGGGAAAGCAGTGTGTATCTATTATCAGTCATCTAATAAACTCGAGATAGAATATTTTTAATTGTACTATATTGTTTTCATCTCCCCCTTGCATCCCGTCGTACGGACGCGTGAACTGTTATTTAAAATTTTAAAAGTGCATTGAACTGCAAAAACATCGCTTTTTAAGTATATTTTGCATTTGCTTGCCATGTTGTAACTCCAATTAGTGATGTTAATCACTGCGGCCAGTACCCCCGCACCCCCCTGTGACGCCATCCGCTTTCACTGCCTCTGATCACCAGGTCTGATTCCAATAGTGTCTTACGATCCGTGTTCCCATGTGGTTTGATATATTTTGTGATATAAGCTCCAATTTGTGTTCCCTACGGCTAAACAATTGAATCATTTGTCATTAAATGTGTATGGATGCATTCACAACAATTTAGTCATTCTATTTTGATGTTACTGTGTTCAACTGCAGCCCTTATATTTAAGTTATGGTTCTAGGGCGGTTTTTGAGCTATGCGATAACAACAGATGCTCCAACAATGTCCCCATGCACTGTTCTATCCGATTAACCACAAACCAACTAGTCTTAAGCTCTAAGATTGCTGGGAGGTGGGGCCGGGAGTACAGATACCCGTTGACTATAGGACAGGCTTTCACCATCAAGTTTGTCATTTACTACAACAAGGTCAAGGTAAGTGAGGACTCGGTCTTGTCACATTCGTATTACAACACAGACTGTCGAAGTAAGAAATTTTTATTGAATGCTCGAAGTAAGAAATTTTTATTGAATGCTCATAATTATAGTCGATTAATTTTTTTGTTGAAAAGCATGTAAATAACAGAGGTAGTGATAGAGAATAAAACAAGTAATTGGTATGTTGCACAGTCACTTGAATAAAAATCAAGTAAAATATTTCCTTTAAATGTTACCGAAAAACTTCCCGCTTGTCACTACCGAGGAACTTCGACAAAATAACATCCACACAAATCTCATAGTATTTTATTTTCCACTAGACTACCCGGGGGTCATCCATAAATGACATCACGTCTGTCAGCACTTATCATCCCAAAATAACCAGACACCACATTCAAAAAGACGTTTTTTATATTTTAAAAACTCTACTAAACTCTACTTCACCTGCCCAGTGTCCCGCCAAGTCTCAGACATGTTTGAATTTTTAAAAAAAAACGATTCCGGCCGAGCATGGCTCTGACCACACTATCCCTTCATATGCTGATAACATAGAAACAGGTGAACTCTACTTCACCTGCCCTGTGCCCCGCGAGGTCCTGATATTCAACCTTATCAATCACATGTAGGCCTTAAGAAAAAAACAATTGAAAACATTGTTGTAAAAAGAAAATAAATCTTTTTACTATTACTAAATTTATTGTTCTAAACTTTTATAATTAATGTGGTTAATCTACCTATGAATATATCAATAAATCAGTTAACGGCTTTAAATTTGTTTGTAATTAACAGTGTGTTTAAGAAGGAACAATATTTACCACCCAAAATTCTATTTTACAGCTCTACACATAATGCAGATTCTCCCCAATAGAAATCAGAAAAAAAAAAAAAAAAAGAGTTATCAAACGTCAATATTCAGTCAAAGTTAAGCCATTGTTCTAAAACTTTAAAATTAATGTGGTTAATCTACCTATGAAAAAATCAATAAATTAATTAACGTCTTTAAATAAATGTGTGATTAACAGTCTGTCTGAAAACAAAAATTGTTCTCTACCTACATACTATTTTACAGCTATCCACAATTAGTAAAACCATTTACAATAGTCAATCAGACAAACAAACAAAAAAAATAAATAAATATTCAAACATGTAAACAAACTTGAGTTTTAGTAGTATACTAGACTACCCGTTATCTATTTAGATAACTGTGGGTTTCGGGGGTCATCCATAAATGACATCACGTCTGTCAGCACTTATCATCCCAAAATAACCAGACCCCCACATTCAAAAGAGTTTTTTTATATTTAAAAAACTTTACTAAACTCTGCTTCACCTGCCCAGAGTCCCGCCAAGTCTCAGACATGTTTGAATTTTTTTAAAAATGATTCCGGCCGAGCGGCTCTGACCACACTATCCCTTCATATGCTGAGAACATACAAATAGGTGAACTCTACTTCACCTGCCCTGTGCCCCGCAAGGTCCTGATAGTCAACCTTATCATTCACATATAGGCCTTAAGAAAAAAATAATTGAAACATTTGTTATAAAAAGAAAACGAATCCTTGTAATATTACTTAATTCATTGTTCTAAACTTTTATAATTAATGTGGTTAACCTACCTGTGAATATATCAATACATTAATTAACGGCTTTAAATTAGTTTGTAATTAACAGTGTGTTTAAGAAGGAACAATATTTACCACCCAAAATCATATTTTACAGCTCTACACATAATGCAGATTCTCCCCAATAACAAACCAGAAAAACAAACAAACAAAAAATGAGTTATCAAACGTCACTATTCAGTCAAAGTTTAGCCATTGTTCTAAAACTTTAAAATTAATGTGGTTAATCTACCTATGAATAAATCAATAAATTAATTAACGTCTTTAAATAAATGTGTTATTAACAGTCTGTCTGCAATCAAAAATTATTCTCTACCAACATACTATTTTACAGCCCCCCATATAGAGCAGTTTCCTTACAGTACCAAATCAGACAAACAAAAAAAAAATATTCAAACATGTAAACAAACTTGAGTTTTAATAATATATAGATAGATGAGCCAAAATATTCCCACACAAAATGGATTGCATACAACATTATTTAGTTGAGTAACAAACGTTATCATAAATAGTTTTGAATAGCAATATAATATTTATTACACTACCAAGATAGGCCCAGCAGAAATTAACTTACACATAAGAATTTTATATTAGTTAGGCACATTGATTTAATTATTAAACTTATGTTCTGTTCATTTATGGTTTAAAATATTTCATATCCATAGGTTTACAATAACCAGAATCTGTTATATGATTTTTTAAACCGCATTTCCTATGAAGACATCAAATTTATGTCCGTTCGTGAGGGTGCAATTGTGAATTCCATCCTGTATTCTGTGAGTGTCTATACATTTTAATATCATTGTTAATTTAATAGAAAGCCGAGGTTAAGAAATGAAAATACATTTCTTTTCATTTATCCTTAGTAAACATATACTAAACTGTATTTCATCAAGTGTCATTTTGAAAACGAATTCTAGATTTCCTAACTAGAATTTTATGACCGAATATTGACGTTACAATAGAGTTTCGATTTTAAAACTTTAAAATATATCGAAGTTATAGATGAGTAGGCCTACTAAATTTAAAAAGTCATCACCATTGATTAATTAAGAGGATATAAGCTAATCATTTCAAAATCACCAAATTCCTGTATTTTTGTCGTAAAGGGGTTCCTGCACCTTTGTATTAATTAAGTTATCTATGTGTTTAAAATACTATTTTTATGACCTAATTAAATAAAAACTAATCATTTATTTTCCCAATCTTACAAGCTCTCAACGACAAGTTTTTTTTTATTCGTCATCATATTGTATTTGGCATAATTTGTCCGTGACGACAGTTTACAGACGACAATGAAAACATCAAGCAGAACTAGTTACCTCCCCATAGTTTCAAATCTTTTAAATACTAATTTATTTGCCTCTAATAGCCGTCACAAATGCGACCCGGCTCTACTATTGTAAACATTCGTCGTGAACCATAGCTCAAAGACAGGTGGGGGTGAGGGTGGTAGCGATATGCCTAGAGAGCGAGGGAGTAACGGCGTGCGTTTACATGGCGTCTCGCATGGTCCCCAAGAAGAGAATTATATATATATATAGATGATATATTAGATATTCATATAAGCTCAAATGTAAATAATATGCAAATTAAAGACTTACGGTGGGACTTCATACTTGTGAACACATTTGCTAAAGCAAAAGTTCTTGAGTTTAAATCTTAATCTTGATCCTTTAGGTTGTCTCTGATTTAAATTCAAAGCAGCTCTAACTGGTACCTGACTGGTTATGGATAGTAAAAACTGTTTGACATTTTGCTTACCATATAATTTATTCATATGCAGAGATAACAAAACTAGGTGAAATCTACTTCAGCACCATATTCTTAAAAACATGCTAAAAGTGTTCAAAGAACCTTAGAAATTGAATTGTAAAAAATAGAGATGAACTGAGTATATGTTTAAAAGAAGTATGAACTATCCCGTAAGTGTATATTTATTTATATTTATATTTAAAATGTACAGAATATTTATATTGTTTTTTAAATCCTCCATCAAAATTTCTTCGTTTAACTCCATTGTAGCCTAAAGGCTGACGAATGGGGCCCACTGGTAATTTTTGCATAGGGGCGCGAAAATCCTAGCTACGCCACTGATTGGACGTACGGGTGGACGGATGGATGAATGGATATTGGCAGAAATTAATGTTTAACCTTACTTTTTAATTTTATTCTATTAAACAGAATTCAAACTTGCCTTTTATAAGATCAGCACACGGACAATATATTGTTTTAAAAGCAACACCTACAAGTTACCAGAGGTAAAAGAGTATTTGGGTTTCATCTCATCTTTATTTTTGATCCCTGATGTGTCGGAATATCTTATTCGCTTGAAATTCCGTTTGTCATTTACCAATTTTGTGCATCCGTCTGTTCGTCAACTGTAAAATTGTGATAGCCACATAAGTTTGTTAAGTTTTAACTAAGTTTAATTTAGCCTTTAAAGTTTTGTTTAGGTTTAACTAAGTTTGTGATAGAGACCCAGTTTTGTTTTGGTTTATATAAGTTTGTGATAACCATCCAAGTTTTGTTTTAGTCTGTTAGTGATAGCCACCTAAGATTATTTAGTGTCATGATAGACACTCAAGTTTTGTTTAGTGTCATGATAGACACTCAAGTTTTATTTAGTGTTATGATAGACACTCAAGTTTTATTTAGTGTTATAACAGACACTCAAGTTTTATTTAGTGTTATGATAGACACTCATGTTTTATTTAGTGTTATAATAGACACTCATGTTTTATTTAGTGTTATAATAGACACTCAAGTTTTATTTAGTGTTATGATAGACACTCATGTTTTGTTTTAGTCTGTTAGTGATAGCCACCTAAGATTATTTAGTATTATGATAGACACTCAAGTTTTATTTAGTGTTATAATAGACACTCAAGTTTTATTTAGTGTTATGATAGACACTCAAGTTTTATTTAGTGTTATAATAGACACTCATGTTTTGTTTAGTGTTATAATAGACACTCAAGTTTTGTTTAGTGTTATAATAGACACTCAAGTTTTGTTTAGTGTTATAATAGACACTCATGTTTTGTTTAGTGTTATAATAGACACTCATGTTTTATTTAGTGTAAAGATAGACACTCAAGTTTTATTTAGTGTTATAATAGACACTCATGTTTTGTTTAGTGTTATAATAGACACTCATGTTTTATTTAGTGTTAAGATAGACACTCAAGTTTTATTTAGTGTTATAATAGACACTATAGTTTTGTTTAGCGTTATGATAGACACTCAAGTTTTGTTTAGTGTTATGATAGACACTCAAGTTTTATTTAGTGTTATGATAGACACTCAAGTTTTGTTTAGCGTTATGATAGACACTCATGTTTTGTTTAGTGTTATGATAGACACTCATGTTTTGTTAAGGTTTTTGTATTTGTGATAGTATAATAAGTTTTTTTTTGGTTTAACTAAGTTTGTGATAACCGAATATGTTTTGTTTCTAAGTTTGTGATAACCGAATATGTTTTGTTTAGATTTAGCTTAACGTTCGAGTGCCAGCAAGACGTCACCATACAGCTTGAGGCCTTGTTTAACTTCCAGGAAATCGAGAATGAAGTCCTCATCTCCAAACGCACCAACAACGTTTGGGACACTGAATGCCAATGTGTCGACGATTTTCCCTTCACCGTCAACACGCGTTTCACAATGACCATTATTTTCACGACTACGGGGATTGAGGTACACGTGTACTGCGTTTAGAAAACGCAGTAGTATTATTCGAAACCGAGATTTACCAAGAACCTTTCAGTTAAAATCATTATAATTAAAATGAAAAAATTCAAAATCCTAAACCATTAAAAATACATTTTTAAATCAAACGTAAACCTTGAGCAAACACACGAATATAAACCTATGCGAGTATTTGCAATTAAAATCCAGAAACAACAAATAGAAAAAAGCAACCACGTAAGTTTACTTTAAAACAATTGAATACGACGAAAAATAGTCCTTCAATAAAACCAGGTAAAAAAACCGGGAGTGATCTCCCCTAAAATTTCTCAAATATTCTTATATAAAAAACAGGTGATAGGAACTCGGGATATAGACATGATTTTTATTCCATTTTAAATACTTAGACTTTTTAAAAGAGAATAAAATCTCGTAGAAAAAAAAAATTGCACACCAGTGAACGCTAAATAAAATGTGCATAATAGTGCAGAATATTATTTGTACTTTGTAAATTTACAATAGTTTTTTGAGAAATCGGAAATAGCGTAAATTAGTACTTCCTGTCCACGGAAATTAATCAAAATTTGACAGAAGGTAGAGAATTAGATTGTTTATTTATGTGTGAAATTTCATATATCTATCTGAAATATTACTCAAGTTATAGGCTTTCGAAAAATTCAAAGTAAAAAAGTACCACTTCTGGATATCGGAAATCGCTCAAAAGTTGATACGGATCTACGATTTTGATAAAATACTTATATATGAAATTTCATCAACATAGCTGTAATGGTACTCAAGTTATCATGTTTACAAACACACAGAAACGCAGACACACATACAAACAGACATACGGACAAGATTGCAAAATTATGTTTTTCCGTATCAGTGAGGTGTAAAACGTCGAGATTTGCAAAAATCTCGATTTTTCTTGCACAATTACAAGACTTTCTCTATACTTCGTGTATACGAGAAATAAAAATGTTTTATTTTTTAGTTTTAATGATGTGTCTTTTTTTTTTTACTTTCTCGTATATACGAAGTATAGAGAAAGTATTGTAATCGTGCAAAAAAATCTCTTGAAATTTTAACAATTTTCACCGTATTACACCTCAGTCCTTCATCACATCCGAAGTATAGAGGACTTATTTTAATTGGGCAAAAATTATCAATCCAGATTTATCAAAATTAAGAGGTTTTATGCGTAATCCATTCTGAAAAACTGGGCTTTGCAATTCTGTCCGTATGTCTGTGTGTCTGTCTGTCTGTGTGTGTGTCTGTGTGTAAACACGATAACTTGAGTACCGTTACAGCTAGGTTGATGAAATTTCATATATATTTTATCAAAATCGTAGATCCGTATCAACTTTTGAGCGATTTCCGATAACCGGAAGTGGTACTTTTTCTACTTTGAATTTTTCAAAAGCATATAACTTGAGTACTATTTCAGATAGATAAATAAAATTTCACATGTGAGTAAAAGATCTAATTTTCTACCTTCTGTTAAATTTTGAGTAATTTCCGTTGACCGGAAGTAGTAATTTACGTTACTTCCGATTTCTCAAAAAACTAATGTAAATTTATAAAGTACTAATAATGTTGCGCACTATTATGCACTTTTTTATTCGGCGTTCACTTGGTGTGCAATTCTTTTGTCTACGAGATTTTATTCTATTTTTAAAACTTTAAGTATTTAAAATGGATTAAAAATCATGTCCGAGTTCCCACATCCCCTGTTGTTTTATATAAGAATATTCGAGAAAGTTTAGGGGAGATCACTCCCGGTTTATTTCGATGTGTTATTGATATGTTTTTTTTTTTGCTGTGCTTTGTTTTCTATGTGTTATTGAAGTTGGGGGTTTTTTAGGGAGGGAAGCTTAAAAGCTTTTCTTTCTCCTTAGGTAACTGTGAATGATGAGTTCAGGTATACGCAGCTACCTGCAAACGGTTGCACAAGTCACAACATCGTTTGGAGCCAACTGATCGTCTCCAAAGTTTACACCACGTGAACCCTCTCATTTGGGCGTCAAGATTTGCCAAAATGTTGACAACTTTGTGTCCTGACAATCGACTGATGGAAGGACGTGATACTGAAATCTGATAGACTGAATGACAAGATTCTTACAATTGGCCGAATGTAGAGAAACTGACAAAAGACAGACCAAATGTAGACATACTGACAATTCACAGACCGAAAGTAGAGATACCAACAAATGACAGACATAATGGCGTTATATTGACAATTAACTGACCGAATGATGTTTTTCTGTTGGGTGATTGTTGTATTTTATAGAAATATTTTGGAGAGCATCTTGTAAAACACATTTTTTAACACTGCGAAGTCCCATTCAGTAGCCGCGTATAAACGTTTACGCGAATGCGTTATAAAAATTAACCAAAACTAAGGTACATGTTCTAATACTAATTTACTCTACTATGTTTGAAGAAAAATTGACGTATTTATGTTTTCTAAAAATAAACTTACGAGGAATAATTTTTACTTTATTTGAAATTCTACTTGAAATTATTCCATGAACAAACAGCCATTGGTATCCATGATTTCTAAACACCTTTTCAATAAGTTTTAAACTTTTGTATTAAAAATAATAATCACTCTTCTATAATAAATATTTATATTCTTTTAAAAACCTAAGCTAAATTACACATGAAACAGAATTATCAATAGTGTTCAAACTCTTCTGTGAGAAAATAATTTAAAATTTTAATGTCAGAAGGTATCTCCTCCGTCACTGTTAAGCAATATGTGTCAACATACTACGCGTCTATGGCCCATTAGTTCCGACTTCAATCTTTATTCCATTCAGGATTCGCTTCCATCTAACAAAAGACTATCAGACAGCAGTTATTTGCTGTTGGAAATTTCTTCCCTGGATAGGTTAATATTCAAGCTATCGAGCCTCACCTACCCGTGGGTTTTGAGCTCTGGACTACTATGATCTTTACCGCTTTACCAAGCCAACGTTACTGTTACTGTTATTATGGTATTATTTTTATTTTTTTTATCATTATTATTATCGTTATTATTATCATATTGTTATCATTATTATTATTTTTAGTAGGAATTTTCTAACCATACTTTAGAAATAATTGTTATTATTATTTCCAGCCTTCTGAGGTTTGAAAGATAATTATTATTGTTAATCAATTTCTAAACCTAAACATTCACAGCAGTTTCACTGAAAAATGCAATGCATTTAGCCTTTCTGTGCTTGTATTTTGAATGTATGTAAAAGATGCCCTAAAACAGTGCGAAACTTAGTAATACTATTCAAAAGGCTTCAGATCTTAAATGGTAAATAATAGAAAAAAAACCCGGAGCATATCCTTTTAAATACTAGCGTCATATCGCGATATCGCGTTAATTAGCAAAAGCTCAGTTAGTCTAGGAACGCTTTTGTCTAACATGCCTAGGTAAGAGTGTGTTTAAAATCGTTTTTAATAAAAATAAAAATAGCAGGCTTAAATGGCGAAACTCACAAGAGAATAATATTCAGTTACAAATTCTATTCCTTGAGAGGTATAAATATAGGATAAATGTGTTACAACCCTGATAATACAACTACAGTACTTTAAAATCGTGCTTGATTATAACTTATCTTTTTGGAAATGAAACTATACGAAAATGTGATTCAGATACGAAAATTTAAAAACATCTCTCCATACCTAATTTTTAAATAGGCCTACTGTTGTAAACATGTTAGAGTTATAGTGCTGCTTATCTAGATCAAATGGAAGAAACAATGTTAAACTATGTGAGAGGTTTGAGTTGTCCGATTCAATACCATTCGAGATCCACTACCATATGAAGATATTGTAACCGTGGGCTAGCATTATATAATTATTCATCCAGACAACACATGTGACGACAATCGACAAGATGAAAATATGTTTATTCTTATATTTATTCTCGTACTGCACTCTCGTACACAATTTCATCAGGACGAAGAAAATGAGACTAACTCACACACAATACCCAGCAACCAGTCTCTACCCAAAAACGTCAGTGTCACACTAGATGCGTCATCATTCCATGCGTTTAAAATACCTATCCCACCAACATTCACTCGATCAAATCTATACTTGGAACATGCATCATAACACATTATATGATTATAATAATAGATATGTCACTTTATATTATTTTATCATGTGTGATCCGTCCACTATACATTGCAGATCTGACAAAGCAAGCTAGCTTGATGTAATATATATATTACTGGTGGTATTTTATAGGATAAGCAAGATAAATCAGAAACACATTTATTACTTTAGGGAGAGCTCACATCAAATAAATATTATTTGACACGAAGCGATGACAGCTTCGTTGATTTCCGACTAAGGGACAAACGTATATTTCCATGGGAGAAAAAAAAATCATGCTTTCGAACCAGTAAATTTAGAGGACAAAAAAAACTTATGGTTTGGAGATTCGCCGTTTATTTTTATTGTACGAAACAAACCAAAATCGATAGGAAATTTATTTTTACTGTTGTTGAAAAGAGAACCTTTATGAGACCCCCGAGTTTTGGGGTCTCCTGTTGCTCTCCTTAATGCGCCACTGTCAATGAGCTACGGTCTTACAGCAAAAACCTTGCCATATCCTTTGTAGCTCCCACCTGCCGTCTAGTTTCGGTTTTAATTCTCATTAATTCGGCAAATAAAGCAACAATTCTAATCTAACTTTCACTTCAAAACTGGTAACTTCCTGCCATTAAAAAAAATTGGTTTAAGCGTCATTTGTAAGCTTTTAAATTAGACTGATCGCTCGTGCACTCACATGTTGAAGTAAAACATGTTTTTCTATCCTGTTTTGTTGAGATTCAGTGTTTTATTTCCAGAAACTAGTTGATCAACCGAATTGTGTGCTAGAAATAAAATGTATAAGAGGCCTATTTTAGGGAGCATGATGAAGAACGGGGTGTTTCGAAGTTTTTTCATGGGGAACAACTCTTATTTTAGTGGCCTATGATTGGTAAATGACATGGAATGCTATTTTAACACAATTTAAAGACGGTTAGGAAATTTTCAATTGATAGCTAGGGTTAGCCTATAATGCTGGTTTTCCTAACGCTTTGAAGTGAGAACTAATTCACAGTGTAGACCCTGTACAGTATTATGTTTAAAATATTTTTTTACCAACATGTAACGCGATCTGATGCGAAATAACTTTTAATTGTTTTTTTTTTTAAATATGGGTTAATCATTTGTCCCAATTCTTTCGCTGCTTTTGTTTTTAACGATAAGATCAAATCATTTTCATAAACGATTGCTGGTCCGGACTATGTTATTGTAGGGAGCTCTGGCTTTATAAAAACAATGTCTGCGTTGTAGATGATGACAGCTGGTATGTATATTTAAGTGTGTGTACGTGTTTGATATTTTGAAATAAAAATAAATTAAGCAAACATTAAAAATTTAGTTTTTATAGTGAAACCAACAATGAACCAGTAAATTCGGGGGTCCCTAAATATCGAGGGCCCTTGACTGCAGCCATTTCAGTCCCCCCCCCCCCCCCCCTTAATCCGCTATTGCCTAGTAATGTTAGTAAAACTTTGTGAAGGCAGAGGTTGTCTTAAGATTAATGCTCAGAAAGCGAACATAAAGGGTAGGTAGCCTCAAGCTCAAGGGTTCCCAATTTGTTTGCTTTGACCCACAATGGTGTCACAAGGTTCTTTTTTTTGGGGGGAGGGGGGATCGCCAACTTGTTGACTAATCACACAATATTCAAAGTGTTATTATTATTATTTTTAAAGTTTTTTAAAAGTTTTTAAGGTGACTAGAAATCTGAATAATTTAATACATAAAAAAACCTATGAAAATAAAAATTGTAATATACTTTAACAACTAAGAGTTTTAGGATAGAGTAGCATACATAGCAAATATTCTAACACAAAATAGATTTAACCTGAAGCTTCGGGGAAAATAAACGAAAAGCATCATCATTCATGATAATCAATGGACATGTTTCTTATATGCCATGAAATTGGCCAAACTAATTAGGGAAAAATTGCCGAGTGTGCAGAGTGGTATTTGAATTACATGTAAAATAAATACCATTTTGAAAGAGGAGATTGCAGGGCATCTTGAATCTCTTGGAACGAACAGCGGCCCTACTTCCTTGAGCTGAAAGAAATAGAAACTACATTGACACGTAGTCCATTCTCTGCTTCCCTTGATGGTACCAGAATTGGCGATTAATTACTAGGCGAATTCTTTGATTAGCGAAATGATTCCGTGGCATGAACTATGGTTAATCAAAACCCTTCGAACTATTTTGGTGGATGCACCATTCACACCGAAAAGTTGACATTGCTTACATTTCGAGTTTTATTTCTGTTTGTGTCCAAATATATTTCCGGAAGTAGATGTTTAATATTTCTCCATTTGAAACAAAATACATTAAATTTTTTATATTGAACATGATTTTGGCGTTAACAGAAACGCAACCGCAAATTTAAGGGCTAGTTAATGACATGCAATTTTACCCATCGCATATAATCAGTTATCAAACGAAATTTTCAATAGAATTTAAATGCACTAGAAAACCTTAACTCGGTATTTATTAATTTACTTGTTAATATTGAATATTGACTTTTTAATGAGGTGGGGGTGGCGGGTAACTTAGCACTTAGCTTTTGTATAAAGGGATCGTCACTAGAAAAAGTTTGAGAACCTGAGCTCGCTAGCTAGTTTGAAGGTATTACAACCAGCATCACTTTTGAGAAATTACATATTGATTTTCAAATCCACTTCTGAACAAATTTTTAAAAAATCATGATAATCATAGGTGTAGGGCAAATGTAGCTATAAAAGGTATTTCTAACACATTTCTATTAGCAAGTAAACACGTAAAGTTCCCTTACGAAACAGTTCGTCCATGTGGCAAATGAAGCAGGGTTTACCTGTTTCTTTGACCTCGGCTTATAAAGGGGTACTGTGTCCTGCCTTCTTGAACACAGATTCGAACTCGTAGCTTTCTGTTCAGGCAGTCTAGCGCTCTGCCGCTAGGCCACGTCCTCCCTTTCGATGTTTTAGAGTCACTAATTTGAACCTTTTTTTTTACACAAGAAAGTTTCGGAGATTTTTTTAAATACCATTGTTTTATTATTAGAAAATTATTTGCGTTTAAAAAAAACCCATTAAGAGCATATTTTAAAGAACCTCGAGCTTTAATTTGATTTGAAATAAAGCATTAAAACATTACATATATCCTCCATGGTGACAAGACAAATGGTCTCAGGACAAATGGTCTCAGGACAAATAGTCTCAGGACAAAGGATCATAAGAACAAATGATCATAAGAACAAATGATTTCAAGGAAAATTGATCTCACTGAAAAATATATGAGAACAAAAACTATAAGGACAAATAATATCATGGACAGAAAATCCCAAACAAAATATCTTTAAAAAAATATCTCACGGCAAAATATGTGTAGTATTTGGGATGATTCTGTTGCGCGTGCCTGAAGAGCAAAAACAATATCTCGGGACAAATAATTTTTATGACAAATGATTTCAAGAAAAATTGATCACACGCAAAGAATACATCATGACGAAAAATACAAAGACAAATAATTTCATGGACAAATTATCTCAGTCCAAGCAGCTCTGACAAAATATCTCTGACAAAATATCTCACGGCTAAATATATAGGCCTATAGTGTTTGGGATGATTTTAGTCGATTTTAAAAATTTCTTTTGTTGCCAGGTTGATTTTATTTGCTTTCTTACACAGAATAATTGTGAGATACTAAATGAATCAGTTAAACTTGATTTTTAAATAGTATTTCATATAATATGTATAAGACATAAGAATACATTACAAACATAAATTGATGAACGCCTAAATTATACTAAATTCACAATACGTCGAAAAGTTTACAAAAACGTTCATAACGTAAAATGTATAACGAAATAGATTAAAATTATCTTAAACATAAATATTTTGCATTGAAATATTTCGTATGAGTTAATTTTATCTGAGATCGTTTGCCGATGATATCATTAGTACTTAAGATCATTTATTGTTCTATGATATTTTGTCTGAGACCATTTATCATGAGGTCATTTGTCATGTAACCATTTTCTAATACAAGATTCTAAATATTTAAACCAATGAAGTCTATAACTCCTATGTGCACTCAATACTATTATACGAGTGCGTACATCTTATTGCGTGAGTACTTAAACAGTAAAACACAAAATATCATAAGTCTAAAACCTAAAATTTGCATTGTTTTGCACACGTAGCCTATACGATTACCATACAAAATTCTTGCTTGAGCTCCACTTATGAACGGCAACCTTTTAATCCGCCAGTTAAATGACACGTGTACAGGCCCCAGGCAAGTGTTAGCTAACCTTCCGACCGCCATTTTTCCTTTTGCGTGTCCCAACTTTGTGTGGTGAGCTGCCTGTCAGAAGTTGCTTTTAAATCGAAACGACACCTATTCAAAAAGTTTTAAGATGTTTTAACATCGCAGTGTAGGTACGTGACAACAAATTTGTTTAGCAAGGTAACATATTTGTTTTTTGTTTTTTTTTCTATTTTTGGTGCCTGGCAAAATGACTCTCGAGACTGTCGTTTCCGAATTCCCCTCCCGCATTAGATTCAGTAGGGAATGCCTACATACTGATATGTACCTTTATGGTTATGTAAGGAGAGCTGGATCTAGAAGTGACTTAACTTGTTTGGCCGTGGTGCGAGCGACAGTTGAACTCTTGTCTATCTGACACACAGTGTCGTTTACTCACATTTTTCAGTTTTTCACTATTTACATAACTATCCTAGCCGACACTTATTTCAAAAGACCATTCTAGCCGCTCCCATCACACTGAAAGTTTCCCAAAATTTGGCCGACAAAAAGGTCGATTTGTGTGTGTGTGAAAGGAGGGAGGGGAGGGGGGTAGGTTAGGACTCACACTAATAAACCAGTTCACTGATATTTCTGGAACATTCTCAACGCGGGTAAACTTTAATGTATGTTCGCATCTTGTGTGTCAGATCATGCTGTTGGGGCTGCAGACTTTGCTATCTTTTCTGGCCAGCTTTTTGTTGGTTAAAGGTGACAACATCACCTACCATCACAACTACAAGCGCAGTTTTACAGCAACTTCTTTGGTAAGTCTGTCTTTGAAATCTTGAAGAATCTTTAACAAAAGAGTGAAGAAAACAAGAATGCACATACACGCATAAAACATTAATATTTTTTTTTAAATACAGAAAAAAAGAAAAAAAAAGAAATCATACATTTTTTAAAAAAGTTAATTAATATATATATATATATATATATATATATATATATATATATATATATATATATATATATATATATATATATATATATATATATATATATATATATATATATATATATAAACAATAAATCAATAAAATCATAAAATAAATCATAAAATCAATAAATCGATAAATCGATAAATCAATAAACCAATAAATCAATAAATCAATAAATCAAAAAATATAAAAACCCAATTTATCAAGTAATCAAATAATCAAATAATCAAATAATCAAATAATCAAATAATCAAATAATCAAATAATCAAATAATCAAATAATCAAATAATCAAATAATCAAATAATCAAATAATCAAATAATCAAATAATCAAATAATCAAATAATCAAATAATCAAATAATCAAATAATCAAATAATCAAATAATCAAATAATCAAATAATCAAATAATCAAATAATCAAATAATCAAATAATCAAATAATCAAATAATCAAATAATCAAATAATCAAATAATCAAATAATCAAATAATCAAATAATCAAATAATCAAATAATCAAATAATCAAATAATCAATTAGTCAATTAATCAATTAATCAAACAATCAAACAATCAATTAGTCAATTAATCAATTAATAAATTAATCAATTAATAAATTAATCAATTAATCAATTAATCAATTAATCAATTAATCAATTAATCAATGAATCAATGAATCAATGAATCAATGAATCAATGAATCAATGAATCAATGAATCAATGAATCAATGAATCAATGAATCAATGAATCAATGAATCAATGAATCAATGAATCAATGAATCAATGAATCAATGAATCAATGAATCAATGAATCAATGAATCAATGAATCAATGAATCAATGAATCAATGAATCAATGAATCAATGAATCAATGAATCAATGAATCAATGAATCAATGAATCAATGAATCAATGAATCAATGAATCAATGAATCAATGAATCAATGAATCAATGAATCAATGAATCAATGAATCAATGAATCAATGAATCAATGAATCAATGAATCAATGAATCAATGAATCAATGAATCAATGAATCAATGAATCAATGAATCAATGAATCAATGAATCAATGAATCAATGAATCAATGAATCAATGAATCAATGAATCAATGAATCAATGAATCAATGAATCAATGAATCAATGAATCAATGAATCAATGAATCAATGAATCAATGAATCAATTAATCAATTAATCAATTAATCAATTAATCAATTAATCAATTAATCAATTAATCAATTAATCAATTAATCAATTAATCAATTAATCAATTAATCAATTAATCAATTAATCAATTAATCAATTAATCAATTAATCAATTAATCAATTAATCAATTAATCAATTAATCAATTAATCAATTAATCAATTAATCAATTAATCAATTAATCAATTAATCAATTAATCAATTAATCAATTAATCAATTAATCAATTAATCAATTAATCAATTAATCAATTAATCAATTAATCAATTAATCAATTAATCAATTAATCAATTAATCAATTAATCAATTAATCAATTAATCAATTAATCAATTAATCAATTAATCAATTAATCAATTAATCAATTAATCAATTAATCAATTAATCAATTAATCAATTAATCAATTAATCAATTAATCAATTAATCAATTAATCAATTAATCAATTAATCAATTAATCAATTAATCAATTAATTGATCTATTGATCTATTGATCTATTGATCTATTGATCTATTGATCTATTGATCTATTGATCTATTGAACTATTGATCTATTCATCTATTCATCTATTCATCTATTCATCTATTCATCTATTCATCTATTGATCTATTGATCTATTCATCTATTCATCTATTCATCTATTCATCTATTCATCTATTCATCTATTCATCTATTGATCTATTGATCTATTGATCTATTGATCTATTGATCTATTGATCTATTGATCTATTGATCTATTGATCTATTCATCTATTCATCTATTCATCTATTCATCTATTCATCTATTCATCTATTCATCTATTCATCTATTAATCTATTAATCTATTAATCTATTAATCTATTAATTTATTAATCTATCAATCTATTAATCTATCAATCTATCAATCTATCAATCTATCAATCTATCAATCTATCAATCTATCAATCTATCAATCTATCAATCTATCAATCTATCAATCTATCAATCTATCAATTTATTAATCTATTAATCTATTAATCTATTAATCTATCAATCTATTAATCTATTAATCTATTAATCTATTAATCTATTAATCTATTAATCTATTTATCTATTAATCTATTAATCTATTAATCTATTAATCTATTAATCTATTAATCTATTAATCTATTAATCTATTAATCTATTAATCTATTAATCTATTAATCTATTAATCTATTAATCTATTAATCTATTAATCTATTAATCTATTAATCTATTAATCTATTAATCTATTAATCTATTAATCTATTAATCTATTAATCTATTAATCTATTAATCTATTTATCAATGAATGAATGAATGAATCAATCAATCAATCAATAAAAAACAAATAAATGATTTAACGATTGAAGGATTGAACAATTGTACGATTGTACGATTGTATGATTGTATCATTATATAATTGTATGATTAGTTGTATGATTGACTGTATAACTGTATAATTGTATAATTGTATAGGTGTATTATTGTTTAATTGTACGTTTGTACGATGGTACGATTGTTCGATTGTACGGTTGTAAGGTTGTACGATTCTATTGAACGAACTAACGATCGAACGAACTAATGAAATAATAAAATAACGAACTAACGAACTAACTAATGAACTAACAAAATACCGAAGTATTGAACTAACGAACGAACGAAAGAAAGAACGGCATAGCCCAGAGGCGTAGCGACCCTTCTCGGCGCCCGGGGACATACTTTCAATTTGGCGCCCCCTTGGGAGCAAATTTTCGATTTGCACCCCCCCCCCCCCCCTCGAACTTTTCATTTGCACCCCCCCCCCCCCTCAAACTTTTGATTTGCACCCCCCCTCGAACTTTTCATTTGCACCCCCCCTCAAACTTTGGCGCCCCCCCTAAGGTCGGCGCCCGGGGACATATGTCCCCCCCGCCCCCCCCCCCCTCGCTACGCTACTGGCATAGCCTTAGCCTTAGCTTTAGCCTTGGCTTTGTTTTTCCTAATAGCGATGTTTTGCTCCATTTCAATACTTCCTCTATACACTGTTCCAAGGTAGCAAAAATATTATAAGCAATCATACATTTTTAACAGTACCTAAAATGTCAAATTTGTTACACATTCACAGTATCGCTTACCTTACTACGGCCAAATTCGGTATGCGATTTACGATGGTAAAGAGATTATTATTGATGGAAGCCTCCTTTCTAGAGCAACAAGGTAAAAGTTTGTTTTCCAACAGATTTAAGTCCTTGATTTGTGGACATTTCGGTGCGATGGTAGACTTTTTGTAGGCAGCCACAAATTAAATTAGCCCGGCTTGGCGAAACTACGATGCCGCCAGACCCCGCAATGCAAGAAGGGATGCTTATGGGGTTTAAAATCAAACAAAAAAAGAACGCGATTAACAATCACGTCACAAATGTTTACACTAAGGAAAGAAAACAAAACTTGTGGCATCATCTTCCGATTTCAGAATATAAAGAAAGGAACTATTTCATTCAAATTTGATTTAGATCTTGAGAATCTACGTTCGCTATGAAATGTATACAATACAATTTTCTCGGCCTAAACTTATAAAATTTACTTTATCTATTAGGATTCTAGATCTAGAGATTCTAGATCTAGAGATCTACGGAAAAACCGGTCAGATTCTATTTAGATCTAGAATCTATTCCTAAAATAAATTTCTATACTAAACTATTTGAGGCCTCAATTATTTTATAGACATCTTTGTATTTAATTTAATCTGAAAGAATATGGCATATTCGCGTAAGTTTCTTAAGTAGGCCTAAATCTTTTATTCTCCGTGATTTCTAATGTGCCTAAATAGCTGAGATGATAGTGTAATTGATACCATATGGGTGGTACGAGTTTGAAACCCATCAAGTCAATCTTAATTTTTTTTTCAATTTTTTTTTTATATGTGAATGAGAAAGTTGTATATCAGGACTTGGGAGGACACGGGGCGAGTGAAGTAGAGATCACCTGTTTCTGTCTTTTCAGTATATGAAGGGATAGTGTGTTCAGATCCATGCTAGGCCGAAATTGGTATTTTTAAAAGACAAAAACAACATAACTACCATTGAACAGCCGGGTTTTCAACGGAATCTTTTAAGTCTCTTAATCAGCGAGTGCATTTAATATGGTATTGTGTTAACTAATACTGTGTATAATATGGTTGTAAGTTTTCTAATAGGTATTTGTAGTCTATGCTATTTTAAATAAGTCTAAACATAGACAGTAGGCCCTACATAAAACAAACCCTTTCTTTTTCATAATCTTAACAATGTTTCATTCCAATGCTCTTGATCAATAAAATGTTTCTTTTCCTAAGTTTCCGATAAAGACTTTTTAAAAAGCTGAATTACAATTCATTTCGTTACTCACTTTCCTTAGAAATATACATTTTCTTCAGACATCTCCACCGTTTCTTCCCCTTTCACCTCCAAACGAAATTGAAAAAGTAATTCTAAAAGAAAAACCTAGTAGCCTATTTGTAAAGAGAAGAGAGCTATAGGTCACCAGAATTGACCGTGTAACGGTTACCTATGGCTAGTCTAATAGAGGTGCTCATAACGCTCCTTTAAACATTTGTGTACTAAGCAAAGTAAATACCAATTGCTTTTTTACATATTTAAAAAAAAAAACACACATAGTGTAGAGTGACATTGCTCTGAACAGAATTAATTTAAGTTAATAACAAATAAAAAAAAAACGTCAGGACAAAAAGAGCACGGGAACCCATACTGCATAGTCAAGCTTCGTTTATAAAATACTAGCCATCCCGGCCAGGAGCTGCACTGGCCTCTGTGAAAAAACAATCAGTAAAGGACCAAAGTGTTAAGCAGCATATATCCGGCACAGCCCGGCTTTGTGAATTATATTACCTTTTGAATTAACCATAGCCACAACCAACCACAACAAAAACACAAACGCAAACACAATCACAAACGAAAACACAAAATCAAACAACAAAAGCAAACGCAAACACAAACGCAAGCGCTAACGCAAACAAAAAAACCAAAAGAAACACAAATACAACGCAAACACAAACACAAACGCAAATGCAAACACAAATATAAATCTATACGCAAACAATAACGCACAACATAAACACAAATTTGAATGCATATAAAAGCATGATGCTCACGTTATAGCCCGAGGCGCCGAATCGCACCCGATTCATCTTAGTAAGCGACTTAAATACCTTATCTTATCCATAGCCTATCGCACAGTTTAAACTAAAATTAGGTGCCATAGCGCTCAGTGGAAGGACCGGGGCGCGATTTAGCAGTCTGTCAAGGCGCCGGAGGACGCCCTGAATTCGATTTAGTGAAGGACTATAGTAACACTTCTTATAAATAGTCTATTGTAACGTTTAAAACGAACGTATGCTCACAGAATAGACCGGGGCGCAAATCACAACTTGCGGGGGCGCCGAAGGAAGCGTCTGATTTAATTTAGTAAATAATTATAACACCTCACGCTTATCCGCACACGGAAAGATAGAAGTAAACATAAAAGGCAATTTAAGAGCGGTTTCTAAACTGTAATTGATTACAAATAACAATTAGTTATCAGTATGTTCAGTGTATAATATTAGTAAAAGGCAGTTTTTAAAATATCTTGGCTTTACCTACCATATCGCACTTTATCAATGTATGCTAATTATATATATATATATATATATATATATATATATATATATATATATATATATATATATATATATATATATATATATATATATAGTTTTTCAACAAGTTTTCTCTAAAGTTAAAATAAACTACTTCTTACTTGAGAAAACGTGCATTTTCACACATTTTCTATCTCTAATTTTCTCTGCTTGTTTAGTCGGCTGGGTTAAGTATGCAAAAATTAGTAATTTTATCATGGTGTAAGAGGGTGTAAAACTGTACTTACAAATGTTTTTATAATAGATTGACGATAGAAGCATGTGGTTGTATATAAAACGTTTATTGGGTCTAGCTACATGGTGATAACCAGAGAGAGGAAGGAAGTACAATGCACAAGGGACATCACTCAAGATAACAATATAAATATAATACTAATACAGAAGAGTGAGTTCCCTTGACCTCACAATTATCTCAATCTATTACATCCCTTTACCCTTAGAACACAATAACACATCTCTCAATAGAACAATTGATAGTATCCTAAAATCACCAATTATATTGTAACATGAACACTATGGTAGATTACACCCTTACAAACAATGCACAATATGTTACAATACAAACAATGATGTCAAAGTCCTTTTGACCTTTAAAATCATAGGTCTAACTTATTTGGGACTTTGATTGTCCTGCTTGACCTTCTCAGTGGCTTTTGATTTGGTGACTCAATATTCTGACCATTTGGATTCTCTATCTCAGGAGGTCTAGGATCAAAATCATTAATTCCAGAATTTACATTTTCTGACTCCAGACCACTTGGTTCACTCATATCAACAGAACTTGGTTGTGGAACAAACTGAGTTGGTGTGAACTGATCAGATTTGGTGGGATTGACAGATTCACACTTATTATCTGCACAAGTTATTTTTAACTGGTCTGCGTGTCTACGGACAATAAGTCCATCATTTGTTTTTACTTTATAAGACACAGGTCCTGTACATTGAACAATTTGACCTGGTATCCATTTTTCCTTTCTCCCATAATTTCTTAGATACACATTCTTATTAACACCAAATTCTCTTTCAATGGGTGTTCTGTCATGATTTACTTTTTGAATTGGCATCTGAAAGTATTATGCTATTATTCAGATCCTTAACTGGCATAGATTTCTTTGATTGATCAATTTTCTCAGGTAATCTGATAGTGCTTGTTGGTAACCAAAAATACTGTTTAAAAGTAATATCCTGGACCATATCACTTTGCAACTGTGATCCAGTATTTGAAGTGGGTGTATTAAATGGCAAAAATCTTTTTCTTCTTTTGATGTTACCCTTTTAGTTTCTGTAAGTGCTAATGATGTTAGCAAGGTTGTTTGATGATCACATTCCTTCTTACTAATGTATTTTCTTTAAAACATTTGAAATTGCCATATCACCATAATCATTTATTAAGTTACAATACTTTGTTTAGGCAACTCTGACTGATAATGGACTGCATCTTCTCCATCTTTTATGTTATCTTCACAAAGGGTTTTATTTCTTATTTAATATGGCCTTAAGTCATCATTCACAGACTCTTCAGGCCAACCATTTTTACAGTACTCACATACTTTTATTAAGCACTCATCTTTTTGTGTTTCTCTTTTAATATCATTCACATTTATATTGGAGTTATCCATGATAGTGAAGAGAACAAATACATCTTCTGGTACATAGCTCAGGCTTTGGTTTTTTTAAAGGTAATCTACTAAGACTATCTGTTCTATTCTCAGATCCAGGTTTGTATTTCAATTCATAATTGTATGCAGTTAGTGTGATAGCCCATCTTTGAATTCTTGGTGAGGCATGCTCAGGTAGGGTTTTGTTTTCTCCAAATAAACCTAGCAATGGTTTATGATCTGTAAAGATGGTGAACTTCCTACCAAACAGAAACTTATGAAATTTCTTAACACCAAAAATGATGCCTAAGCCTTCCCTATCTAACTGAGAATAATTTTTCTCAGCCTGGTTCAAAGATCTACTGGCAAAAGCAATGGGTCTGTCACCCTTCTCATCCATGTGGGACAAGACTGCTCCTACACCATCTGGTGAAGCATCACACGTTAATATAAGTCTTTTCCCTGGGTCATAGTGAGTTAGTAAGGTGTCAGAAGACAAAGCTTCTTTTGCTGTATTAAAAGCAGTATCTTGTTGTTTACCCCAGTGCCAAGTTGCATTTTTCTGTAGCAGCTTGTACAGTGGTGATAGTTTACCAGACAGATTTCCTATGAACTTTGCATAGTAATTTATCAAGCCCAAAAAAGCTCTTAGTTGTTGGGTATTTTCAGGTTTGGGTGATTCTTTAATGGCTTTTGTTTTCTCAGGTTGAGGTCTGAGACCTTGCTTGCTTAATATATAACCAAGAAAACTAATTTCTGTCAGCATGAATTGACATTTATCTTTGTTTATCTTTAAACCTTTTTCACCAACAATTTTCAATACTTTATCAAGTGTTTTAAGATGTTCAGTGTCATTCTTACCAGTTATGTACACATTGTCAAAGTACACACAAACATTTGGAATATCCTTAAAAATACTGTCCATGACAGCTTGGAAAATTCCAGGACTAGATGATATGCCAAAACATAGTCTTTCATATTGGTAGAGTCCTTTATGTGTGTTTATTGTCGTATAGACTTTTGAATCTGGATGCAGTTCTAGTTGAGTGTAAGCATGACTAAAGTCTAATTCAGTGAATTTGTCTCCTCCTGCCAAATTCAAAGAAATTTCCTCAATGTTAGGTATAGGGTACCTATTTAGCTCTATTTGCTTATTCAGTGTAGTTTTATAATCTCCACAAATTCTTATAGAACCATCCTTCTTTAACACTGGCACAATGGGCGACGCCCAATCGGAATAGTCTACCTTCTTTATGATGCCATTAGATTCCAATCTACTTAGCCCATTTTCAATTTTATTCCTCATTGCATAAGGTGGAACTCTAGCTTTGCAGTATCTTGGATTTGTGTCTTTAATGCTTAACTTCACTGTTCTATCATTTAGTAATCCAGGATTACCAAAAACACATTTATTTTCAGATATTACTTTATCTAGTGAAGTAAGACTAGATTCTTTTGCATTCTTCAATGAACAAATACTCTCCCAATTTAACTTAAGATCACTTAACCAGTTCCTACCTAGTAATGGTGGTCCATTTCCTTCAACCACAAGAAGAGGAAGTTTAACACTTTGACCATTATAACTTACATGAACCATACACTCTCCTATTACCGAAACATTGTCACCAGTGTATGTTGTTAAACACTTGTGACATAGTTGTAGAGGCACTGATCCTCCTGTGACAGCGTCAAAATCTTTCTTTGTTATGACTGTTAGAGATGCTCCAGTGTCAAGTTGGAAGCTGATGCTCTTACCGTTGATATAAACTAGTACATTGATGGGAGCATGACTTATTGATTTCACAGAGAATAGGTTGAAATCCGGCTGCGAATCAGTTTGAGCATTTTCACAGGTAGAGTGGTTCATTGGTTGGGTTAGGTAGTCTTGGTGAGAGTTAACATAGTGCTGCCCTTGGTTGCGGTACTGTCTTGACTGGCTAGATTTAGCAACAGACGAAGACTTTGCTAAGCAGGCCTTAGCAATGTGACCTTGCTTACTGCACTTATAACAAGTTGCAGACTTGAACTTGCACCGATGAGATGCATGGGGACCTTTGCATCGATGACATTTTTGATAATTATTACTAGATTTAGATCTAGGATTTGAACGAGCAGGCTGTTTAGCATAAGTTGGAATGCTCTGTTGGGGTTGATGTTTATTGACTAACCTGCTGTTTACTGCATGGATCTCTGAAGGTGCTAAAGATCTCGCCGCATCAGATGACTGCTGGAATGAAGTTGCAAGTTGTATTGCTTTTTCCAATGTTAGATCTGACTCGAGCAGCAACTTTCTTTGAATATCAGGGCTGTTTACACCTGTCACAAACTTTTCACATAGTCTGTCAGACAGCGTATCGCCGAATTCACAAAATTCACTTAAATGACGTAAAGCAGCAACATATTCTGATATTGACTCGTTTGGTTGACGAGTCCTACTGTCAAATCTAGCTCGACATAGAAACTTTGATGGGGTAGGCGCATGGTGGTCTGTTAGCAATTTGCTCAGCTCGTTAAAGCTCTTGGTAGTTAGACTAGCTGGTGCGCATAAGTCTTTTAGTAGCCTAAATTGTTGAGGCCCTATGACTGTTAACAAAACAGCTCTCTTTTTGGCTTCTATCGTCACGTTGTTTGCTTCAAGGTAAAAGCTTAACCTATCTAGGTAATCTTGAATGATTTCATCATTCGAATCAAATTCTTTTATTTGGCCATACAGCGCCATTATTCTAGAAATACTTAGCTAATAAGCTCTAGCAAACCTCTTTTTTGCGTAAGTAGGTGCTCTTTCTAGTAGATTTTCATCCTCGTCGTCAGATATAATAGATTGACGATAGAAGCATGTGGTTGTATATAAAACGTTTATTGGGTCTAACTACATGGTGATAACCAGAGAGAGGAAGGAAGTACAATGCACAAGGGACATCACTCAAGATAACAATATAAATATAATACTAATACAGAAGAGTGAGTTCCCTTGACCTCACAATTATCTCAATCTATTACAGTTTTTTTGTTCTTGTCCCCCATTCCCGACCTCAATTTTATCAGGAGTGGTCTTAAACGAATATACAAAAAGATGCGTGTAACTATTATTAGTCATCTAACAAACTTGAGAAAGAATATTTGTCTTTAAACTAACCTAATTTCTTTAATTACCCCCCCCCCCCTTTTCCCGTCATTTGAATGTGGAAAACGCGTACTTAAAAGTGCATGGAACTCTGAATAAATTACAAAAACATCCCATTTTAAGTACATTTTTGCATTTGTTGTCCATGGTGCCACCCCAATCAGTGGTGTTAACCGCTGCGGTCCTCACCCTCGCACCCCCTTGTGACGCCTTTGACCTCCAGGTCTGATTTCCATATTTCTCTGATGATTCGTGTTCCACGAGGTTTGATATCATTTGCGATATAAGCTTCACCTTTTTTTTCTTACGGTAAACAATGGGATCCTTTGTCGATCAATGTGGATGGATGCATTCACAACAATTTAGTCATTCTACTTTGATGTTACTGTATTTAACTGCAGCCCTTATATTTAAGTTTTTTGGTTCTAGGATGACTTTGGAGCTATGCGATACCAACAAATGCAACAACCATGTTCCAATCCACGTATCATTCCGACTGAACACAAACCAAATGATAGTCAGCTCTAAGACAGCTGGGAAGTGGAACCGCGAAATTAACGCGGGCTCGATCCCTGTGACCAAAGGACAGACTTTCACCATCAAGTTCGTCATTCACAGCAACAAGATCAGGGTAGGTCTGATGACTAGATCTTGTCACATTCGTATCACAACACAGACTGTCAAAGTAAGAAATTTTTATCTAATGTTCATAATATAGTCGAATAAGGTTTTAAAACGCATGTATATCACTGAGATAGCATTATAGAATGAAGCGAGTAATTGGTCAGTTGCACAGTCATTAGAATAAAGATCAAGTCTTGAAATGCTATCGACTAATTTCCTGCTTGGTCCCTGCACAGGATCTTTAACAAAATATCAGCCAACAAATCTCACCTTACCTCATTTTGAATGAAACAAAATATTCCCACACAAAATTAATCGCATACAAGATGATTTAGTTGAGTAACAAACGTTATCATAAATAGTTTAGAATAATAACGTAATTTTTATTACACTACCAACCAAATTATACCCAACACAAAATAACTAAACATATAACATATCCACAGATTTACAACAAGCAGAGATTAGTGTATGATTTTATAAACCCCATTACCTTCGACAACATCCAATTTATCTCCATTCGTGATAATGCAGTTGTGACTTCGATCCTGTATTCTGTAAGTGTTTATACATTTAGTAGAAAACCATAGTTAAGTTATGAAGTTAAATGTACTCATTTGTATATTATGTATGCCTATTACATAGATTTCAACTGTTGGCACTTTTTAAACGAGTTCTAGATTTCCTATCCTAGATTTTATGACCTAATCAGACGTTACCATAGAGTTTCTTTTTTTAATTTAGATATCGTATTTCTATAACTAAACTTAATTTCAAAATTATTTATCTCTAATTACGTAAAAAAAACATTATTTTCCTCTTACAGATGACATTTCCCGTGAGTTTTAATTTTGAAATTAGTTTATCGAATTTTGAAAAATTATGATTACAGAAATATTATTTCTCTTTGTGAGAAAGTTAATATTTGCATGAAATATGAATGTTAATACTTTTGTACAAACTTTATAAATTTTTCATATTAAACCTTTGATTTGTTTACACACAAGAGGGTCTAAGGCAGGTGTCGGCAACCTTTTGAGGCGTAAAGGCAAAAAAATACAATTTACAAAATTTCCCAGTTTTTAAACTAACATTTTTATTTCAATGGTATTATATTTATTAAGAATTATATATATATATATATATATATATTGTAACGTCAACCTTTCTATCAGCCAAATAGAAGGAGAACGTCCCCGGATTCTTTTTTCGGGGTCATATGCAAATGCCTTACGGCCTAAGTGGATGAACACTTAACACAACGACCACTAGGGCTCGAAATTAATGTCTAGGGGAGCTAGTGATACTATTGTAATTAACACTCATCCAATCTACATACGACCATTTAATCAGCGAACTCAGAGGTGGCAAAACACAAAGATGAACTAGATAAAATATTTAATGTATAAAATATCAAAAACCCAACTTACACAATGTAGGAAAAAACACTATCACAGATTTCTACACTGTCCTAAGAACAGCTACAGGCCACACAACACTGCTGTAGCTTCCAGACTTACTTAGCGACAAGTAATATTAAACTAGAAGACTAAATCAACTGAAGAAAGCAAGGCACACACAGGTCTTAAGTACTCTCACGTTCAAATGGTCAGAGTCTATAGCCGGACAATATGGACGGCTGCCTGACTAAGGTAAAACGGCCTCGTAGTCTTTTAGGTCAAGAAAAACTGCCTCGTGTTGCGAGTGTGCGGGGCAATTAAAGACTTCTGTGACAGGGGAGGTTATCCTCAACTCATGTCGCCATTGGTTGGGATAATCATCTGATCAGAATCATTCAATCAGATTTTAATGGAAATTTTCTATGTCTCAAACACCTTAATAGTCAATGGAAAAACCCCAGGTGTTACACCATCATTCCATATAAGGAATTATACAATGTCAAAATAAAAATGACTCGACCTAAGTAGGTCACATCCCCTCCCTTTTTGGAAGTGACAGATAGGTTCCACAAAAACATACATAAGGAACCAATCTGGCAATGAAATAACAAAAATGTTTTACAAATGTAGGCAATCAAAATCATAATACCAGATGAAAATATCCCTGAACATAAAAGGGAAGTAACTCCAACTTTTACAATTGGTGAAAGGGGAGTAACCCTTCAAAAAGTAATTATACATCAAAATCCCTCAAAAATGGGTATTACAATTTTTCCATGAGAATATTAAAAGTGGTAAACCCGCCAGGGTAAGACCTTTATTTCAATGACTAGCTACAATATCAACTGATTCATATGAGACATATTATTATAAAAGATTACATATAATCAAAAACTACCTTTAATTAAGGTTCACCTGAAAATAAACAAAATATTCAACAGGATTGGAATTTTGAAAAATTCTAACTCACACCACTCATTTTCATATGAGTGACACTCAAACAAAACCTGTTTATGGTCCTAATGAACCACAAAGCGTGTCACATGATCAATGTGTGTAACAAGATTTTACATCCTTGACAAACAATCAGCCACAACATTATCACTACCCTTAATGTGTGAAATTTCCAGATTAAAATTTTGGAAATATAAGCACCATCTCAATATTCTTTGATTTGTCTGTCCTAACTTAGAGGTAAATTTCAGGGGATCATGGTCAGAAAACACTCTGACTGGATTAGTTGAAGAAGAGACATAGACTTCAAAATGTTGTAATGATAAAACCAAAGCTAAAGCTTCTTTTTCAATAGTAGAATAATTCTTTTGGTTTTCATTTAACTTCCTGGAAAAAAAGGCAATGGGATGGTCAATTCCCATGTTGTCTTCTTGAAATAGGACTGAGCCAATGGCTAAGTTGCTAGCATCAATGGCAAGTTTAAAGGGCTTGCTGAAATCTGGCGCAGCCATAACAGGAGCATTAGATAAAAATGACTTAATGGTTAAAAAAGCTTCTTGACATTTATTGGACCATTCAAATTCAACACCCTTTTTCAATAATGCAGTAAGAGGTTCAGCAATAGCTGAAAAGTTTTGACAGAACCGTCTATAGTAACCAGCCATCCCAAGGAACTTTTTGATCTCTTTACAATTTTTGGGAGGTGGTAACCTTACAATAGCCTCTACTTTAGCTTCAATGGGCCGAACTTGGTTCGTTCCCACTTGATAACCCAAATAGGTAATTGAAGCTTTACAGAAATCACTTTTATGTAAGTTTACAGTAAAATTAACTTCAGACAATTTTCTAAAAAGGTTAGTCAATTGAACAATATGTTCTTCAAAAGTATTAGAAAATACAACTATATCATCTATGTAGGCCTCACATTGGTCTATGTCAGCAATGACAGAGTTAATGACCCTCTGGAAAGTTTGACCAGCATTTCGCATACCAAAGGGCATGCGTTTGTATCTATAAAAACCATTAGGGGTTACAAAAGCAGATATTTCTTTTGCACGGTCAGATAAGGGGATTTGCCAGTATCCTGAAAGTAAATCAATTTTGGAAATTATCTTAGCTTGACCAACTTTATCAATAACGTCCTCTATCCGAGGTAAGGGATAGGAATCAGCTTTGGTGAGCGCATTCACCTTCCTAAAGTCGGTCACAAACCTGAAAGATCCACCGTCTTTCGGGACTAGGAGACATGGGGAACTCCAGTTGCTGAAACTGGGCTCAATGATATCATTCTTGAGCATATAATCAATTTCATCTTTTATCAAAGCAGCTTTTTCCGGGTTAACTCTATAGGGGTGTTGTTTAATGGGTTTTGCGTCACCAACGTCTACATCATGAGGTGGAACCTTCGCTTCTTTGGGGACATCCCCAAAAATAGAGGGAAATGTCTCAAATAACTGAGACAATCTATGGCTTTCCTCTGTGGACAAATGCATAAGGTGGACATTCAAATTATCTAAAAAGGAAGAATTTACCAATTTTGGGGGTTTCAATTTATCATGTATCACATCATCAGAAACATTTGAACATACAGGTAAAGTAATTTTAGCTGTGGATTGAAAATTGTTACAATTATCATAATATTTTTTCAGTGAGTTGACATGATACACTGTCTGTTTCTTTCTTCTGTCGGGCGTATTGACAACATAGTTCAAATCACTTAATTTTGAATGCACAGTAAAAGGTCCACAATATCTCAAGGATAACGCATTGTCCAGATTAGGCACTAGCACAAGAACTTTGTCGCCTGGATTGAATGTTCGTTTACAAGAACTCTTATCATACAGTTCTTTCATTCTCACTTGGGCCTTTCTTAAGTTCTTGTGAGCCATTTCGCACACGGCTTTCAGTCGAACGTGAAAATCGTCGAAGTTTTCCACTGGATGATCACTGGTACCTGTCCAACGTTCGTGTATCAGCTTCAGGGGGCCACGGACAGAATGTCCAAACACAAGTTGAAAAGGCGAGTAGCCTAAAGAGTCCTGGATACAGTCCCTCGCGGCGAAAATAATCCAAGGAACAGACTCATCCCATTGGGTGTTACTGTTAGCGAATGTCCTTAGCATGGTTTTGAGGGTTTGGTGGAACCTCTCAAGTACGCCTTGAGACTGAGGGTGGTAGGCTGAGCTGGTGATGTGGATAACGCCTAGCTTGGCTAGCGCTTCCTGAAAATGGTGACTGGTGAAGTTGCTGCCTTGATCTGTTTGCACGATTCTAGGTAATCCAAAGGTAGTGAAGAACCGGGTCATGGCTCTGACTACGGTCTTTGCCTTAATGTTCCGTAAGGGAATCGCCTCGGGAAAACGGGTACTTGAACACATAAAGGTAAGTAGGTACTCGTTGCCCGCCTTGGTTTTAGGCAAGGGACCTACACAGTCCATGACGATTTTAGAAAAAGGTTCTTCTAATACAGGAATCGGACTCAAAGGGGCCTTAGGAATTGTCTGGTTTGGCTTTCCGGCCAACTGACAGTTCGTGCAACTTCTGCAGTAACGCGACACATCTTTTCTCATTTTGGGCCAAAAGAACAGTTCTTTGATTTTCGCCGTCGTTTTAGTGACTCCTGGGTGCGCTGACATTGGATGGTCATGTGCCAGCTTAAGTATTTCGTGCCGATAAGGTGGAGGGATCCACAGCTGGTTTTTACCCAACCATGGTTCGGCCGGTGAGGCAATCACTGGTATAGCGCGACGAAAGAAGAGGCCGTTCTCGGCGAAATATTCTCCATCGTCAGATGATAGAGATTTTTCGACCGCTGCTTTGAGTTCCGCGTCGACTTGTTGAGCTTTAATGATGTCTACCTGAGATATTCTCAGGGGTAAGCCCAGGCTTGTGTTCTCTGGAAGCATAGACTCCAGTTTGGGAGTCGAATTTCTTGACGATGATGGTAGATGTGGTTCAGACGTTATGTCAGCCAATTGTTTGGTCTGGCTTCTTGTCACCGCACATGCAGGATACAGTTCATTATCATTATCTGGAACTGTTGACAAAGGGTCTGAAACCGTACAGGGGTATACTTTGCTTCCCGCAAGGTCATTCCCTAGAAGTAGGTGTACTCCTGGGACAGGAATACTATCTATCACACCTAAAATGACCTCACCTTCGACGAGATGATGTTTCAGGGCAAATTTGTGTAGAGGGACGAC